GTAGAGATCTAGTAGAGTGCTGTATGAATGGGTAAATGAGGCACAGATTGTAGTGTAAAGCACTTTGAGTAACTTGAAATAAGATAGAAAGACGCTATATAAGTACAGTCCATTTACCATCCATTTACTAACAGCCCCATTCAGGCTGTGAAGAAACCGGAGTCGGCTGGAGGGGGTTGGAGACCAGTGATCAATTTCAAGGCCCTCAATCGATGAACTATAGCCAAATGAGCCAGTCTGATTAACTCACAAGAAACTTTACAAACATTGCAAGTAAAAAAGGACAAATCCTGCATTGATATGATGAACAGATTCTTCTCCCTTAGGCTGGCTTAATAGTCACAAGGTAAAACAGCTTTTACTCACAAAGGAAAGAGATATGTGTGGCAACAGTTACCACAAAGATACAAGAACTCTCCAAATTTGTTTCAGTCAGCCGTGATGGATGTGCTTTAAGACCTAGGAGCCACAATTTACATTGACGACGTGTTTATTGCAGATGACACCGAAGAAGAGCATCTGGAAAAACTAACACAAATGGTGCAAAGGGTCACTTAAGCAGGGCTGAAACTTAACTTGAAGAAATGTCAGTTTGGACAGTTTCAAGTAACTTATCTGTGGTTCCAAGTAACAGCTGATCTGGCACTTTCTGAAGGTTACAGAGAGAAACTTGGACAGACTCAGCCTCTTGAATCCGAAAATCTTTTGCAGAAAATCTTGGGACTTTATTTATGTGAGAGATCACATCCTCAGTTAGCAAAAATATGCCAGACTATTATATGCTTGACTGAAGAAAAGGGAGGACGAAGAAGGACAAAGGAGCAAAAATACTTGGATCTGGACTGTTGCAAACCAAAAAGACTTGGAAGAGCTCAAAAAGAAAATCCAAAAAGCAGTGAGACTGGAACCAGCCTGATGACAAGGTTGGTGGCTGAAATCAGTTGGGAAGATGAAAATGCCATGATTAAAGTCAAAAATAAACAGGGAGGATTAGTAACTTTCTTGATTTACACCCTAACCTCAGTAGAGAAGAGGTTCCCCAAAGAAGAGAAAGAGTTAGCGGTGCTTGCAAGATACTGGGGTACATTGAAATATTTGGTTCAAGGATAACCAATCAAGGTCATCACGCAAAGCCAGGTGCACAAGTATCTCAGAAAAGGAACTGTAGAAAGTACTAAAGCAACGAACACACAATGGGGAAGATGGGAAGACATCTTGTTAGACCCTGATCTGGAGATAGGTCCTGTACAACCAACTGACAAGAAAGTGATGAAAGGGACACCTGAGGATGCAAAGCCACACGAATGGACCCTCTACACCGATGGATCCAAGAAAGGATTCGATTAGGTGGCACACTGGAGTTTTGTCCTCAAACAACATGGGAAATAATGTTGCTGTAGGAGGGGGAGGGTTCCAGGGAGTGCCCAAATTGGAAAAGTAACAGCAGTGCTGGAAGGATTGCTTGAACTGACCAACAGAAAAATGAAGACAGCAAGAGTAGTGACCAACAGTCATTACTGTGCACAAGCCCTGAAAGAGGACTTATCCATTTGGGAAGAAAATAAATTTGAAAGTGCAAAAGGAAAAGTGGTGACTAATCATGACTTGTGGAAGAAAATAGCTGAGCTAAGGTAAAATCTGAAGTTAGATGAAGAATACCAGAAAGCCCATGCCAGAGAAGGAAAGCACTGGCAGGCTAATGATGAAGTAGATAGATATGTTCAACAAAGAAAGATTGTTTTTGTCTGGATCAAGAAGGGGGACAGAACTTCCTAAGGATGGAGAGTCCCAGAAGAATATGTGGATCAGGTCGTACAGAGTGTGCATGAGACCTTAGGACATGCAGGCGTACTACCCATACGCAAAAAATTGGAAGAGCAGGAGCTCTGGATTCCCTTAAAACAAGTCTGCAAGGTGCTGCAGGACTGTGAAGTGTGTGGTAAATACAACACAGGACGGTGAGGACACCGATCAGATGGACAAACTATCAAGAGCCCCATATCATGGGGTTCTGTGTGCATGGATGTTGCATGGCCCATGGGAGTGACTGGTAAGAAGGGAGAAAAGTGTCTTCTAGTACTTGTGGACTCAATGTCAGGGTACATAATAATGAAACCAGCAAAGAAAGCTAATGGTAACAGTGTTGTTAGCATGTTGGAACAAGTCTGTGGGTTGTTGGGTGTGCCAAAAGAACTGAGGACTGATAATTTGATACATTTTCGAAATGCTCAAGTTGATCAATGGTGCCAGATTTTTGGAGTAATGAGAGTCGACTTCCCACCCTACACACCTCAAGCCAACGGAGTTGCCAAAAGAGACATGGGTTTGGTCAAAAATTGGAAAGCTAAAAATGCTAACACCAAAGAATAGAGTACTAAAGCTGTGGAGATGGGCAAGCCTTGAATGGCAGACACTGGGCTGATAGGCCCTCCCCTGCACAAGAACTTAACCAATGGCAGTTCACCATCCAGGAAAATGGGCAGAGTCCCAAGGATAAAGAGGAACAACCAGACCTTGACATCCCATTCAAGGTGGGACAGAAGGTGTGGATCAAGGCACAGGATCATACATCAGCAGTGATAGTGAGACCCAAATACGGCACCACAGACTGAGTAAAGCAAGTGCTGGACAAAGACAGAGTTCAACTTGAAAAGAAAGGTATCCAAAGAATAGAGCAACTCAAGCCAACTCCTAGCTAAGTAAAAACCAAAAACCAGAAAATGGCCAGCAAACCAAGCGCCATGCTTCCTTATGTCAGAATGCCCACAGTCTACGGGGGAGTTATATTGCGAAGAACAACCTCAGGGATTTGGACAAGTACGGCTCTGAAGACATTGACATATGCTAAAAATGTATACCTGTCAATAGAGAATGAAACAATAGAGTGGAGTGAACTCAGGAACAACTGTGTAATTTGCTTAAAACCCAGCGGCCTTCCAATTCGCTGGCAAGGACAAGGCAAAAGAAACCTCTCAAACCTTATGCAAGTAAACATGAGTTTTAAGACATGAAAGTAAAACCTGTGAAGGTGATGGATGCATACATCTGTGGAAAATGTAGGATCAACACTCTGCCTCTGATGACCATCATCACACAGTGGGATCTGTATGGAAAAGGACCAAAAGAGTGTACTTGTGAGTGGGATGGAGCCGTCATCAAGTACTTTAGAAACTGAGGCTCAGATGCAAGATGCCCATTTACTCCACTTAGAAAGAGCAGTGGGTTAGCAAGTATGCAGGTACTACAGTTCCCTCAAGTCCTTCAATGCACAAGTGGAGGAAAAGAAGTTTGAAACCACTCGGAAACTCCCTAAAACACAAGGATACAACAAAGGACCAAATGTACTGTGCCACCCTTTTACCCTGAACTGGGTGGAACTGAGAAGTGGGTGTCAAATGATGAAAGTGGAATGAGCTGGGACCCTCGAGACCTACTGGAGAAGTCTGTACAACAGTCCTGGCCCTATAGCTCCTCCGCTGGTAAAATAAAACACCCACCAATTGGCACCACTCAAAACCCACTAGATTTTAGAGTGTTCCGAGACCCAATGGAGATGAAATATGCAGATGAAGTAGAACAACTGCCAGACAATGAAGGAGAACAACTGACAGAGGTCAAGGACAAGGTGCAGAAGGTCAGTTGGGAAGGTCCCTGGGAGTTAACAACATGGACTCAAGTGATAGCAGAGGTAATACTAAACCAAGATCTCCCATTAGTGGACCTGCCTGGCATTCTTTGTGAGGCAGGAGCCAGACACACAAATTTGTATAATTACACAACTAGTTTGGATGCATGGGGAGCACAAGGGGCTAGACTCCCAAAAAACTGCAGAATATTTAGTAACATCTGAAGCTTGGGAGAGGCATGGGGTGCTGCAGTTCCAGGGATCTGCAACACAGTGAGTGGACACTCACATCAGACCTGACTCCACCCAGAAGGTTAAACTGTCAGTACAGATGGTTGTAATACCATATAATAATATTCCTTCATCAGTCAAGGAAAGAGACCATCTTAGCACCAACATAACTGGTTTGTTCCACTTTAGAGTAAGCTGTTGGGGGAAAATCAGTTTTGTGTTGTGTGTTTCGTTGACTGATGAAGCCTTCCGGATCGAAGGCGAAACGTTTCAGCACAAAAAGAAGAAACTGTCCAGATGACCTGACTGAAAAATGTTGGATTGTATACCTGCATTATTGAGCATGGACTTTGTTGTTTTCAACCAGTTTGACACGACTGTCAACAAGGAAGAGGGCCGGCAATGGAAGAGGGGGCATACCAAAGAGACCATCTTATCACAAGCAGAACTGGTTTGTTCCACCTTGGAGTAAGCTGTTGGGGGAAGAATCAGTTTTGTTGTGTTTCCTTGACTGGTGAAGCCTTCCGGATCGAAGGTGAAATGTTTCAGCACAAAAAACGAAACTGTCAAATGTTGGAGGCTTTAAACAGTTTTCTCAACTGTGAGTATTACAACAATACCCTTGAATCCTAGTCCTGGATTCTAAAAAGTACCATATCGGTGAGAATTTCAATCTACAAGGAGGATGAGTGACAGTTAATGGGAGTTTCCTGTGAAAGACGACTCAACTTATGCTACTAGGTTGAATGAACTACAGGGTGAGATAAGGGCGTGGCTCACAGATGGAGGTCATTAAAAGTTTGGGTGAATCATCTTAACATACAGCCTAGGCTGAACTAGTATGAAATTACTCTGGGTAATACTAAATTTACATAAACAGTGCATTATAACCCTTAGAGGAGAGGCTGCAGTGGAGTTTTGGCCAAACCAAAGTGGTAGCTCCACTGGGTAGAAAGAGGAAATAAACTTATTCTTTAGTCTGCTTTTACCAGCTTAACATGAATCAGACTTATCTGAAGATACTGAAAAGGGTCGCAAATCGAAATATAAAGGGGCATGAAAATGTATGAAAATACTTCATGTTTACTCTGAAAAAGACACATGACCAAAATTAAATGTCACTAAGCTGTGATTTATTGCTGTGAAAACAAACTGTGTTGTGGACAAAGCTATCATCTGTAATTACTCGTCAATACACTCAGTTATTGTCTATGAATGTGTATCAGTAAATAAAAATAACAGCGTGTCATTAAGGCAGGAATATGATCTGAACTGGTGTCTTGCTAAAAAAAATTCCAGCTCTTTAAAACCACTTTTCGACTAGTGACTAAACTAATATTTGTGCCTGTCTGTGTTCAGTGTTCGCTGATGGAGGATATGGAAGTCATTCAACACCACATTTCCCTCTTCACTCACGACTGACAGCACACAGCTCATGAGGCAAAGGAGAAATGGTGAAACCAACAGCTGGTGTCAAATCCAGTTCATCTTCTGAGACTCCAGGTGGGGGTGTGAAACGAAAACGCTGAAGGAGGGAGGTGAAGAAGAGGAAGAGCTCCATCTTAGCTAAACCCTCCCCGAGGCACACCCTGCGACCTGAAAGAACAAAACGGCTCGGGAGTTTAAACCCAACCATGTCGGAGCAAGTGGGAATAACCTCTAACTTATATATTAAATATGAGAAACAACGTTTTCGTACCTGCAGAAAAAGGCAAGAAGGCATCTCTCTTGATGAATTGACCCTCTTTGTCCAAGAAATGAGAAGGGTTGAAGGTGTGAGGGCTCTCCCATTCACTCTCATCATGCAGGACAGAGGTCAGAAGAGGAAATACAACCGTGTTCTGAAGGCAACACAAGAGCAGATTTATTACTTAAAGCCTTTTCTTTCAGTCAAAGGTAAATTAACAGAGAGTTGCCAACCTTTTTGATAAAGTAACCCTGGAAGGTGACATCTTGACTGGTTTTGTGTGGAATAGCTGTGGGAATGATGCTCGCCAGTCTCTGTGTCTCGTGGATCACAGCATCAGTGAATGGAAGGTTTTTACGATCTTCTACACTAACTTCTCGGCTTCCGATCACTCTGACCAGCTCCTCCTGGACCTGGTCTGCAAAACCAACATCATTGTTAAAGAACTTTTATCTGGTTTCATATAAAACATGGTAGCTGTGCTGAACTATACTGTGTAGGTCACAATGGTTGTGGCTACACAGCAAACCTGCCAATTTTAACATTTGCTTTACAAAAATCATCTGAAGTTGTTGTGAATTCTTCACTCGAGGGTATTTATTATTAAATCTACATCTTAAGTGAAGACACATGAGGGGGGAGGTTAAAACTGAAAAGATCTCAAGCTCCTGTGATGTTTTACCCTGAAAATGTGGGTATTTGGCCATTAGCAGCAAACTCCATTGCAGTGTCGTGGCTGTGGTGTCAGTTCCAGCAGCAAACAGGTTGGACACTGTGAATGCCAGGTTCTCCTCATGGAAGTGTGTGTCTTTAACACCAGACTCCTGGAATAAAATGGAAAATATCCATAAACCTGTATATGCTGGTAAAACATACACGTTCAACACGCCTTGGGTCTTATAAAACAAAATGTACTGCCTCACCTCATCTTTCTGCTGCCGGATCAGAAAACAGTCCACCAGGCCTCTGCATGTCTGAGGCTCCAGAGTCTCTTTCAGTTGTTGGATTATATCCTTAACATCTCTGATACTTATCGCAGCATTTTTTATCATAAGCTGTCGGTTTTTTATCCATCTGACCAGCCAGGGAAACATGTTGTAGATCTTTAAAAAGATTAAACAAATAATAA